AAAACTTTTTACAGTAATGAGATTTTGAAATGAAATTTGGCACACATGTAGAGCTGATGTAGCTCTATAAAGTTACTAGTCAAATTTTTTTTAAACTTCTTAGATAAAAAGTTATAACCATTTAAAAAATTAAAACACTTCATATAACTGTTAAGTATAAATGTCTTGCACCATATCTCATCCAACAAAAATATATATAATATTTCTTCTTCATTAAATGAGGGGTTTTGTTTCTAAGTATGCTCATTCTCGGAAAATACCTCTTTTAGTTTAAATATTGGCATTGGTTGTTGTTATTATTGTTATTATTGTTATTGTTATTATTATTGTTGTTGTTAGAAGAAAGATTATTGTTGTTATTGTTGTTATTATTATTATTTTGATAATTATTATTATTATTGTTGTTCCAATTATTATGATTATTATTGCAGTTATTATTATTATTATAGTTGTTATTATTTCAATTGTTGTTATTATTATTGTTGTTGCGATTATTATTATTATTATTGGGTTACCAATTTTGATTTAATCAACAATTTCTAGCTATGTGTTCTATTTGTTGATAATTATTGCAATAAGGGGCAGTACAATTTGATGCAAAGTATCCAGATTGATTACATATAAAACAATTATTATTTTGTTAACAAGGTGGTCTATAATTGTTGTTATTATTATAATTATTGTTATAATTATTATTATTATAATTATTATTATAATTATTTTGATTTTGGTTTTGAGATGGTTGAGATTTTGATTGTTTTGTTGTATAAACCTAGCAACATATTAGGCAGCTTCCATAAGGTCATCTCAAAGACTATTTTGTAATTAAGTAAATACTACCATATAAGCTAGAGTGGTATATTCTTCAAAGAATTGTAGCTGAAAAGAGGTTGGTAGAAGAGAATAGACTGAAAGAGTATTTCCCTTGAAATATACTACTTCAATAGCTCTTGCCTTGTTTACTGCTTGATTAAAAGTGGTTGGACTTTCAAATTGTACTAGAATTTGAAATTCCTGATATAGACCATCAATAAATTGTCTGACTTTGTTAACTTCAAAGTAATTACCATTTGGGTCTACTTTATATCATAATTCATCAAGAGCCAAGTTGTATACATTTACAGTTTTACTAGGTTTTTGTTTTCTGCTTCAAAGAGTGTAATGCTATTGGGATACTTTAAATAGATCTCAGAATTTTTGTTCAAAAAGGTAGATAAAAGATTGGGTAGCTTGGAGATCATTTTTTCAGTATACGAAGCTTGTTTTATTTTGATTATACCAGGATAATGCATTTTCTTTAAGGAAATTAAAAATGATTGCAAGCTATCTATTTTCACCTATGTTATTACTAATACATGCTCTTGTGAAGGCTTTAAGCCATTCAACTGGATCTTTATCACTATTTTCTGAAAAAATAGAAAAATCTATTATTTTATACTTCTTTTGATTGGTGGTTGCTATTATGGTGGCTCGAGTATTATTTTTTTCTATTATTTCATTTAAAATCTCTTGAGTAGCTATTTGTGTATCAAATTTAGAAGACTCTGGTCTATCTTCTTTCTCATGCTGCTGCTATTGTCATTGTTGCTATTGTCTATCCTGATTTTTTGGCTCTCTGTGCTCTTTAGCTAGTCTTTCAAAAGCATCTAGAAAATATATATTGGTTTGTAGATTATTTTTTTGGTTGTTATTATTAACCACATGGGTAATTTGATTTTTATTACCCCTGGTTCTGATTAGGCATGTCTAAACATATTTGTAGATTGATTAACTGTTTGAAAATATGCTTGTTCAAAAATAAGTTTTGTATTATTGTTTTGCTTATTTGAAAGAGAAGGATATGATATTAATTGTGTTGTCTCTTTGGTTAGTTCTAAATTGCTTTTCAACTATGTAATAAGACTTTGAGCTTAATTTATGTCTTGTTGAATTTGTTTACTAGTTTTTTTGATTTTTTTACTTAGAGTATTTGCTGAGGAATTAGAGAGATTAGAATCAGAATATACAATTTTTATATTTTAGAATCAAAAAACTTTTCACTTATCTAATATTTCAATTAAGATAGTATAAACAATGGATAGCTAAAATGCTTACTACAACACTGTAAGAAAATATAAAAAAATAAAAATAAAATACCTAAGCAATATGAAATATAATGACTTCGAGATCATGAAAAAAAGCATGAAAAAAGAGCTGCAAAAATGCCTGAGAAGTGAGAAACGTATCTTACAAGCATTTGTAATCATTACCAAAAATGCTAAAAACAAGAAATTCTAAGTAGTGAGAATGATAGTAAAAAAGATATGAATAATAGTATAAATGGTACAAATGTTATAATTGATGGTATGAATAGTGTGAATAAAGAAGTGAATGATACTATAAATGGTCATGTTACTAATAAAATGAATAATGATATGAATGGTGCAAATTTTATAATTGATGATGATGTAAATAAAGTGAATGATGGAGTTAATAATAATGTTAATGATGATATAAATAATGATATGAATAATAGTATTAATGGTGCAAATAATTATATAAATAGTGTGAATATTATGATTGATAGTGTGAATGATGGTGTTAATGATAGTACAAATAATGGTAATAAACAAATGAGACAAGAGAGTGGTTTAAATATTAATGAGCAAGAAATTCAACATACTAATATTTAGAAGATGCAAAATAGTACAACTACACCTGTTAAACTACTTTCTATCACTGATTTTAGCAAACTTAATTGAGATCTTTTATATAAATTTTGTAGTAAAATAGATAAAATTAAATATACTTATTGCCTTATATGTAATAAGAGCTTTCTATCAATAGTTTTTGTTAGAGAGAGATATCATTGATATTACAATGAAAAGACTTTACCAATAAAGTTCTCTAAAGAAAATAAAATAGATTCTGGCAAAGTATCTGAAGAATTGCAAAAACTTACAGAAATAGAAGAAATATTAATTGCATAAGTTTTTCTAGTAATATCAGTCTATAAACTTTGTGGTAGACAATATAAGTATTGTAAAAATATAATAAACTTTTTACAAAATATACATGAGTTTATTACTTATCTTTCTCGAAGTTTTTTATTATTGGGTGTGTTAATTGTATGCTGCTAGTTAGTAAGGTTGAGATCATTTAGGGATTTTCAAGTCTGTTTTTTTTTTTTTTTTTTTTTTTTAAGAGAGGTCTTTCCTCTATTCCTTTATTTCAAAATATATAATTGAATACAACTCGTATGAATTTATACATTTAACAAAAGAGAGTAGAAGTTAGGGCTCAAGTTTACTCTCGACCTATTCTTAGCTAAGATAGTCAAAAAACCTCTAGACTATGTAATTAAGAAGTGAGAGTATAGAATTATTGTAAATGAATTTGTTAATCCGTACAATGAATTGTTTATCTGTTGGGTTAAGGGGAGTATCGGTTTCTAAAGGGGTAATAATAATTAAGGGGTTAGGAGTAGAAGTATTTGTATAATAAAATATCATAGTGAAAAATGTGGAGTATAAATTCATCAGATTATATCTAGTAGGCAGTAAGCTGGTTTGCCAATTTTCTTTCATAGTTGTGAAGAATAATTGTCTAGGATATCCTAGTGGGGGTCTGGTAAATCAGAGAGATTGAGAAGATATGAAGGTATGCTTTTAAAATTAAAGTGGTTTTGTAGCTCTGCGATGGTGCTTCCGATTTTTTCTTGTTCAGTAATTGGGATGCGAATTGTGTGATGCAGGTTTGTTTGCTCAAGATAGGAAATAATTTCTGAAATTTGAGGTAAAAGTGAGGGTTTTTCTGAAGTGTTTGGAGTAATCTGAATCTTGATCCACTCGCTTGGAATTTGGTAGAAAAAGTAGTGTTCTCTCAAGAGTTGGGCAGTATCAACTAGAGCTTTGAGGCTGCTGATTGGTATTGTTAGATTTACTTCAGTAATGAGGGTATGTTCATTCGGGAGTGAAGGTTTATTCATAGGGTTGACAGTCATATAGATGAGTGGAAGGGAGATATTAAATTTATATTTGTCTTGGATTTCTGCTATGAATTCTTTAGCTTTGTGAATATTAAAGATAGGAAAGTTGTAGATTGCAGTTGTCTTAATAGCATATGGATCGACTAGAAGTAGTTTTTTTTGCACAAAGAAGTCGTTAGGAATATGACAAAAGCTGTAGTGTTCTCTGAGGATATTGACGTATCTATGAAATTCTGAAGCATCAGTTGGATTACAGGGAAACAGGTGGCGAATAGCTGAAATAAGGTTTTGAGAAGTTGATGAAAGTCTGGGTTTTGCTTTTGGTAAGTTGAAGTAATTAGGGGGAATTCTTTCTACTATGTAGTATTGCATTAATTTTGTATAGTAATCAAAGAGAAAAGGCAATCTAGCTCGTTCTGTAATTGGGAAGAAGTCCTGGATTTCAGCACAGAGTTTAGCAGAGTCATCTGGCAGTAGTTCAAGAACAGTAAGGAAATAGCTATCAGGAAGCTTTTTGAAGGTAAAAATCTTTCGTAGAGCTAGTACGGTTGCTCGAGTAAGTTTACGATCTTGAATTAGTAGCGGAAAGGGGAGAATTTGTTGAATTAATTGATCTATTTTGAGTAGAACTTGAGGTAGAGGGATAAGTAGTGTTGAGTGAGCCTTGTTGATCAAGCTGTATAGTTCTTCAAAACTAAGAGTACAGTTTATTTGTGCAAAGTTGAGACAGTAGGTAATTATTTATATACAATTATATGGGCTGTTGATAAGAAAGTCTGTATTACAAATAAAGTCTAAGGCTATTTTGGCTTTAAGTTTTGTGAAGATTTGGTTTCTGTT